CGTTGCCTCTTCCCGTTGCCTCAACATGTTGCCTCAGCGCGTTGCCTCAGCCTGTTGCCTCAGCATGTTGCCTCAGCATGTTGCCTCAACATGTTGCCTCAGCGCGTTGCCTCAGTGCGTTGCCTCAGCATGTTGCCTCAGCCCGTTGCCTCAACATGTTGCCTCAGCCCGTTGCCTCAACATGTTGCCTCAGCCCGTTGCCTCAACATGTTGCCTCAGCCCGTTGCATCAGCCCGTTGCCTCAACATGTTGCTTCAGCCCGTTGCCTCAGCCCGTTGCCTCAACATGTTGCTTCAGCGCGTTGCCTCAACATGTTGCCTCAGCGCGTTGCCTCAGCATGTTGCCTCAGCCCGTTGCCTCAACATGTTGCCTCAGCCCGATGCCTCAACATGTTGCCTCAGCCCGTTGCCTCAACATGTTGCCTCAGCCCGTTGCCTCAACATGTTGCCTCAGCCCGTTGCCTCAACATGGTGCTTCAGCCCGTTGCCTCAACATGTTGCCTCAGCCCGTTGCCTCAGCCCGTTGCCTCAGCATGTTGCCTCAGCCCGTTGCCTCAACATGTTGCCTCAGCGCGTTGCCTCAGCCCGTTGCCTCAACATGTTGCCTCAGCCCGTTGCCTCAGCATGTTGCCTCAGCATGTTGCCTCAGCATGTTGCCTCAGCCCGTTGCCTCAACATGTTGCCTCAGCCCGTTGCCTCAACATGTTGCCTCAGCGCGTTGACTCAGCCCGTTGCCTCAACATGTTGCCTCAGCGCGTTGCCTCTTCCCGTTGCCTCAACCTGTTGCCTCAGCCTGTTGCCTCAGCATGTTGCCTCAACATGTTGCCTCAGCGCGTTGCCTCAGCCTGTTGCCTCAGCATGTTGCCTCAGCATGTTGCCTCAACATGTTGCCTCAGCGCGTTGCCTCAGTGCGTTGCCTCAGCATGTTGCCTCAGCCCGTTGCCTCAACATGTTGCCTCAGCCCGTTGCCTCAACATGTTGCCTCAGCCCGTTGCCTCAACATGTTGCCTCAGCCCGTTGCCTCAGCCCGTTGCCTCAACATGTTGCTTCAGCGCGTTGCCTCAACATGTTGCCTCAGCGCGTTGCCTCAGCATGTTGCCTCAGCCCGTTGCCTCAACATGTTGCCTCAGCCCGTTGCCTCAACATGTTGCCTCAGCCCGTTGCCTCAACATGTTGCCTCAGCCCGTTGCCTCAACATGTTGCCTCAGCCCGTTGCCTCAACATGGTGCTTCAGCCCGTTGCCTCAACATGTTGCCTCAGCCCGTTGCCTCAGCCCGTTGCCTCAGCATGTTGCCTCAGCCCGTTGCCTCAACATGTTGCCTCAGCCCGTTGCCTCAGCCCGTTGCCTCAACATGTTGCCTCAGCCCGTTGCCTCAGCATGTTGCCTCAGCCCGTTGCCTCAACATGTTGCCTCAGCCCGTTGCCTCAACATGTTGCCTCAGCCCGTTGCCTCAACATGTTGCTTCAGCCCGTTGCCTCAACATGTTGCCTCAGCCCGTTGCCTCAACATGTTGCTTCAGCATGTTGCCTCAACATGTTGCTTCAGCATGTTGCCTCAGCATGTTGCCTCAACATGTTGCTTCAGCATGTTGCTTCAACATGTTGCCTCAACATGTTGCCTCAGCGCGTTGCCTCATTATGTGACCTCAGCATGTTGCCTCAGCATGTTGCCTCAGCATGTTGCCTCAACATGTTGCTTCAGCATGTTGCCTCAGCATGTTGCCTCAGCATGTTGCTTCAGCATGTTGCTTCAGCATGTTGCCTCAGCATGTTGCCTCAGCATGTTGCTTCAGCATGTTGCCTCAACATGTTGCCTCAGCATGTTGCCTCAGCATGTTGCCTCAGCATGTTGCCTCAGCATGTTGCCTCAGCGCGTTGCCTCAGCCTGTTGCCTCAGCATGTTGCCTCAGCCTGTTGCCTCAGCATGTTGCCTCAGCATGTTGCCTCAGCATGTTGCCTCAGCATGTTGCCTCAGCGCGTTGCCTCAACATGTTGCCTCAGCATGTTGCCTCAGCATGTTGCCTCAGCATGTTGCCTCAGCATGTTGCCTCAGCGCGTTGCCTCAGCATGTTGCCTCAACATGTTGCCTCAGCATGTTGCCTCAACATGTTGCCTCAGCGCGTTGCCTCAACATGTTGCTTCAGCATGTTGCTTCAGTGCGTTGCCTCAACATGTTGCCTCAGCATGTTGCCTCAGCGCGTTGCCTCAACACGTTGCCTCAGCACGTTGCCTCAACACGTTGCCTCAGCGCGTTGCCTCAACACGTTGCCTCAGCATGTTGCCTCAACACGTTGCCTCAACACGTTGCCTCAACATGTTGCCTCAACACGTTGCCTCAGCGCGTTGCCTCAACACGTTGCCTCAGCGCGTTGCCTCAACACGTTGCCTCAGCACGTTGCCTCAACATGTTGCCTCAGCATGTTGCCTCAGCATGTTGCCTCAACATGTTGCCTCAGCGCGTTGCCTCAGCCCGTTGCCTTAGCATGTTGCCTCAACATGTTGCCTCAGCCCGTTGCCTCAACATGTTGCCTCAGCCCGTTGCCTCAACATGTTGCCTCAGCCGTTGCCTCAACGCGTTGCCTCAGCGCGTTGCCTCAACGCGTTGCCTCAACATGTTGCCTCAACATGTTGCCTCAACACGTTGCCTCAACACGTTGCCTCAACACGTTGCCTCAACACGTTGCCTCAACACGTTGCCTCAACATGTTGCCTCAGCATGTTGCTTTAGCATGTTGCTTCAGCATGTTGCCTCAGCATGTTGCTTCAGCATGTTGCCTCAGCATGTTGCTTCAGCATGTTGCCTCAGCATGTTGCCTCAGCATGTTGCCTCAGCATGTTGCCTCAGCATGTTGCCTCAACATGTTGCCTCAGCGCGTTGCCTCAGCCCGTTGCCTTAGCATGTTGCCTCAACATGTTGCCTCAGCCCGTTGCCTCAACATGTTGCCTCAGCCCGTTGCCTCAACATGTTGCCTCAGCATGTTGCCTCAGCATGTTGCCTCAACATGTTGCCTCAGCATGTTGCCTCAGCATGTTGCCTCAGCATGTTGCCTCAGCATGTTGCCTCAGCATGTTGCCTCAGCATGTTGCCTCAGCATGTTGCCTCAGCATGTTGCTTCAGCATGTTGCTTCAGCATGTTGCCTCAACATGTTGCCTCAGCATGTTGCCTCAACATGTTGCCTCAGCATGTTGCCTCAGCATGTTGCTTCAGCATGTTGCTTCAGCATGTTGCCTCAACATGTTGCCTCAACATGTTGCCTCAGCATGTTGCTTCAGCATGTTGCCTCAGCATGTTGCCTCAACATGTTGCCTCAGCATGTTGCCTCAACATGTTGCTTCAGCATGTTGCTTCAGCATGTTGCCTCAGCATGTTGCTTCAGCATGTTGCCTCAGCATGTTGCTTCAGCATGTTGCCTCAGCATGTTGCCTCAGCATGTTGCCTCAACATGTTGCTTCAGCATGTTGCTTCAGCATGTTGCCTCAGCATGTTGCCTCAACATGTTGCCTCAGCATGTTGCCTCAACATGTTGCCTCAGCATGTGACCTCAGCATGTGACCTCAGCATGTTGCCTCAGCATGTTGCATCCTCATGTTGCTTCAGCATGTTGCCTCAGCATGTTGCCTCAGTGTTGCCTCAGCGCGTTGCCTCAGCCTGTTGCCTCAGCATGTTGCCTCAACATGTTGCTTCAGCATGTTGCCTCAGCATGTTGCCTCAGCGCGTTGCCTCAGCATGTTGCCTCAGCGCGTTGCCGGTTGGTCGGAGCGTTAGCCGTTAGCGAACCAGCGCTAACCTCGTCATGCAGGTTCAGCCGGTGATTAGCTTTCTATCTCGCCTTGTTTGTCTCGCTTCTTGCTGGTTTTATATGATTTTTCCGTTAGAACGAAGCATCAAACTTTATCAAATGTTTTGTCCACTCAGAGTTAATGAGCGCAGAGATCAGAGAAACTCGACCCATAAACTCGGCCAACCAGAACCGTTTCTGTGGCTCTTATTAAAAACTCAATGTTAGAGCTGCTAGAGCCACATTAGCAGCATTGGATTAAATCTCAATAAACAAATGTTACATTTCTATATTTGTGGTCTGTGTTATCATTTATGGCCCCAGAAGCCCTGATGACTTTATTTGGATTAAACAGAAATGCTAATAATTATGATTCATTGTACTTTTTGATGTGTTGTTTTTAAGACTAGTTTTGGGTTTAAATAGTTTCACTGGCCATGTTTTCATATAATTACCCAACAATACTTTTACTTTTCCTGTCAACTTTACATGTTTTACTACAAAAACATGGCGGACGCCTCGGCGCGTCGACCGCCGGGCTGAGCAGGTTTTCTGAGGGAAACCTTGTACCGGTTCTGACCCGATTCATTTTACTGCAGGGTGTCAAACTCTGTTTTGAGCCAATCAGGATCATCAAGGCTCTTAAAGGGCCAGTTGCCCTTTAAGGGGGCAACTGGCTTCTCGCCAGTTCAGCGTGGGGCGCTTCTCCCTGATAGACATTTTAACACGATATGCCACAATGATGCACTACACACAGTAACGTTTTGATGAAACCAGTTCACAAACTGTTAAAAAACAAATCAATTATGAAAATTAAATATTATTGTTGAACATCTTCTCAGTCCCTTCAGAATTTCTTGATTCGTTTTGTGATTTTTGTCCAATAAAAGTCTAAATATTTGTGGCACTCATTTGCAAATGTCTGATATTTGCTCTGATTTATGATGGTAAATGTGACTTTCTTACTCACTGTGTAGATCATGAACTATAATCAAGTGAGGCTGAGCCAGCCGTTTAGTTCAAGTAAGAAAATTTATGGCAATTTTTGAGAAAAATCTCTGAGCCCAAAAGAGTTTTATGATTTGTTGATTTTTGTTTGAGGGCCACATAAAAAGCTAAGGGGGCCGAATTTGGCCCACGGGTCTTGAATTTGACACACGTCATCTAGTGGTTCTGACCGATACCATCAGCTGGTTCTGGTTCTGACCCGAATGCACTGACCTTTGGGGGGATGAAGAACTCCAGGTAGTACTCCTCTCCTCGCTCGCCCCCTTCTCGGTCTCGCTCTCTCAGGACCAAACGACATTTGTGCCAGCGGCCCCCCCTCCAGGGGACGGTGATCCCGCTGGCCAGGGGCGGCACCGGGCCGGCCTGGGCCCCCGGCTGGGCCCCCGGCTGGGCCGTGCTGTTGCTCTCTGCGCCGTGATGCAGCAGTCCGAAGGAGAAGCCGGAGAAGCCGTGGCTGCCGCCCAGCTCGTCGCTGGAGGAGCTGACGCTCACCCCTCCCTCCCGCACCAGACGGCCCACCTTCCTGGGGGGGCCCAGGGCGGCGGCGCTGCTGGGGGGCAGCGAGTTGGAGCCGGGTTGGGGGTTCTGCGTGAAGATGGGCGGTGGCGAGCGCGACAGCCTGAGTTTCTCCAGCCGGTGGCTCCACTTGTCCTTCTCGCCTCCCTCGCCGTTGCTCCGCCGGCGATCACGCGCCGTCTCGGAGAGAGACAGCGAGGTGGCGCTGCTGGAGGACGAGGGCGGCAGGGAGGAAGAGGAGGAGTGAGGAAGGGAGAGGGGCATAGACAGGGACACGGGCATGGAGGAGGTGGGCGTCGGGGGCTGCGTGGCGGCGCTTCTCTTGGCGCCGCCGGAGTCCTGGACGCCCAGGGTGTAGCTGTAGCTGGAGGGCAGCGGGCTCTGCGCCGCATCGCTGGAGGCGCTCCTCCAGTGCAGAATGCCGCGCACGCTGCCGCGCACGCTGCGCCCCACGCTGCGCAGGGAGAAGCGCTTCTTCAGCTTGTTCTTGGAGGAGTTGGGTGTGCCGTTGCCTTTGGAGTCGGGCGGCGGAGTGACGGAGCAGGGAGGGAGATGCAAAGTGTGATCCGCCTCAGATGACTCGTCGAGCTCCGCGCCGTCACCGGCCGAAGCCGCTCCGACCCAGCCGTCTTCCTCCTCCTCTGCCGGCGCTTCGCCGTTCCCGGGGCCCGGAGGGGCGCCGCGCTCCTCCCGCCTCCCGTTGTTCCCTCCCACCGAGGAGCAGCAGGACGACGACGAGGACGGCGGCAGCACTTGGCCCTGGGCGTAGGAGTCCTGGAAGCGGTCGCTGCTGCGGTTCTCCAGCACCAGCCGGGACGGCGCCGGCCTGGACGTCCCCCGCGCCGCGCCGGAGGGAAGTGGGAGCGCCGGGCCCTCGGGTCCCGCCAGCGGCGAGACCGCCTCCTCTTCCAGGGAGGTGGCGTCGGATGGAGGAGCCCAGCTCATCATCTCGTCACGTCCCACGGCTCCGCTTGGAGGCAGCGCCCCCTCCAGCTCGCTCTGGAAGTGGCGGATGAAGCGGTCGGTGAAGCGGCGGCAGAAAGCTGCCGCCGAGTCCGCGCTGTAGTGCGGGTTCTCCAGGAGAAACGCCCGGAAGTGGCGCGCAAAGTCTCCGGCAGCGACACGCGCATGGAGCTCACAGAATTCGGTCCAGCTGAGGGACGGCGAGGGGGACGGTGTGGGCGTGTCAGACAGGGAGGACGGCGGGGCTGGCGGGCTCACAAGGGGGGCCAGGGGGGCCGGCCTGGAGGACAACGGCAGCAGGGAGGGCGACGGCGGTGACGGGGAGGGCGAAGGGGGCAAGGGGGAGGGGCCAGAAGCCCGTGGGCTGGGCGGAGTCAGCAGAGAGCCGTTCATCCCGCGAAATGTCTGCGACTCAGTTCAGTCCAATCGCTTCAAGATGCAGAGACAGAAAGTGAGAAAAGCCAGCAGCTCGTCCACAGCCTGGACCCATAAACCTGCAGCACCGCGGCACGCTGCTGCTCACATCCTCCGCTGCTGCAGCAAAGCCAGCTCCTCCAACCAGCTGCAGCGCCTGACCTCACCACGCCGGCTCGCCTTCATCAGCGGATGGACGCCCAGAGAGCCGAGGCTGCGAGCTGCAGGACACAGAGGAAGGGTCAACAGGAAGCTCTGCACACGGTCGCCGTCTGCCGGGCATGAAGAGCAGGAAACCCAGAGCAGCTGGTCGGATACTTTACCTACGTAGCAGAGACTGAACGCATGCTGCCTGAAATGTTACATCCAAGATCTCTGCTGCACCCACATGAGTTCAAAGCGTGATCAGAATATACTGTTTGTATGAATGTTCCGGCTATTTTAGTCAGATTACAATCAGCAGTTGATTATAATCAGAGGTGATTCCATAAAAACAGCGACAGCCCTTTAAATAACCTGCAACATTTATCTGATCTCTATCAATTATTACTAAGCTAAAGGTTTTAGGAGGAAGTAAACAGCCTCTGTGTTATTTCTCACCAGGATGTTTTTCTGTAACTCGTCAGGTTCTGGTTCTGTTTGAGGTTTCTTCCTGTTAAAGGGCTGTTTGTCCTGTCCACTGTCGCTCCGTGCTTGTTAGGGGAAGTGAATGTAAAAACTTTTTAAACCAGTATGACTCACTGCAACTGCACTGCTTGACCAGCAGAATGAGCTGGAATGACTGGAATTATTTTTGATCGTCCAGAAGATTTGTGTTGTGAATTTGTGACATCTAAATAAATTGAAAATGTCTCTATAAATGAAGATCCTTCCAGATTTTTTCAAATGTGTCTAATTTCCCCTGCAGATGATTATTGTAAGCCGGGGAAGCTGAATAAATGCTGAATAACCTCTGAGTCCGTCCAGCACCAGAACTACTGCAGGTTCGAGGCTCTGGAAGCAGCGACCATTCAGCCCATTAGCCTGCTAACAATAGCTGCCCGCTCTCCCCCGCCACCCCGCCGCTTGTTACCCGCTGGGGTAACCGCCACGGCGGGATGGAGCCGCTCCGTGGGGCTTCATGTTGGCTGTGCGGTAAACAATCCGCGGACTTAATCAGAAACCCGCAGCTAACGCCAAACATTAGCTCCGAGCTATCGGCTATCTGCTAACCAGCTAACTAGCTGCTACTAAAAGAGCGACTGAGCCGTACCTGTTCATCGCAGCCAAGCGTTTCATCTGCGGCTGAGGCGGCCGCACATACCGGCATCCAGCCTGTTAACGCAACAGCAACACCATCCTCCACAAACCCTGCTGTCGCTGTTGCTACTAAGTATGAATATCGCTATGCCTGGACTGGACCCGTTTTCTCGTTCTGCTTCCGTTCTCGCGATATTTACAGGAAGCTCGGCGCTGTTTGAACTCGCTGCTCCAGGTTTGAAACTCACTAAATAACCAACCTGTTTCTGTCCTACTTTATCTGATTCACTTTAGTTTTAAAACATATTAAATGCTAGTTTTGTGTATCTACTTTGTTTTATATTAGACAAGTTTGTTTCTTTGCCATTCTTTTCAGTTTACTTTATTCTCAATATATTTGTCAATATCTCCGGAAAAGTTGATAAACTTTCGAGTTAAAAACTAATAAAGGCCTGGAACCATAAGGGCCTTAAGGGCCCAACATGTAGTGAAGAAATGTCCTCCAGATCCTCAGCAGTTTAGACATGGACAAAATATGAAGCTTTTGTTTTGCTTGGAGCTGAAACCCAGAAAAATCAAAACATTGATCAGAAAATTTTCACTTTTAATCTTTTATTTCATTGTCCAGCAAAGAAAAACATGTTTACCCTGTAAAATATTTACAACTTTAATGATCACAGTTCAAACAAAGTTTTTACAGCTCAATTGTGATGATGATGAAGACTCAAGAACATCTAAAATTACAGCTCCGTTTTTAAAACATATTTCACAACAATAAACAGTCTGGAATAGTTTTTCTCATCTTTATTTCATGGCCCAGCAGCTTTAGGATCAAGGTGAGAAAAGGTGAAACCTCCAGTGGTCCTTCAGTCCACCTCCTCCACAGTGGGCCCCTGGCTGTGGGCTCCTGCCTGCTCTCTGCAGCTGCCAGTGGGCCTCCCTCCCTGGTACAACTTGCTGATGATGGGGTTGCACACCTTCTCCAGCTCCTTCTGCTGGTGTTGGTACTCGTCCTTCTCAGCCAGCTGGTTGTTCTCCAGCCAGCTGATGGTCTCCTCGCACTTGTCCAGCACCTTCTTCTTGTCCTCCTGGCTGATCTTGCCCTTCAAGCTCTCGTCCTCCACGTTGCTCTTCATGGTGAAAGCGTAGGACTCCAGGGAGTTCTTGGCAGCGATCTTGTCCCTCTGCAACTCGTCCTCGGCTTTGTACTTCTCGGCGTCCTGCACCATCCTCTCGATCTCCTCTTTGCTCAGTCGGCCCTTGTCGTTGGTGATGGTGATCTTGTTCTCTTTGCCGGTGCTCTTGTCCGTCGCCGACACGTTCAGGATGCCGTTGGCGTCCACGTCGAAGGTGACCTCGATCTGCGGGACCCCTCGTGGCGCGGGCGGGATTCCTGTCAGCTCAAACCTGCCCAGCAGGTTGTTGTCCTTGGTCATGGCTCTCTCCCCTTCGTAGACCTGGATCAGGACCCCGGGCTGGTTGTCGGAGTAGGTGCTGAACACCTGGGTCTGCTTGGTGGGGACGGTGGTGTTGCGTTTGATCAGGGCCGTCATCACTCCTCCGGCCGTCTCGATCCCCAGGGACAGAGGAGCCACGTCCAGCAGCAGCAGGTCCTGGACGTTCCCCGACGTGTCTCCCGTCAGGATGGCGGCCTGGACGGCGGCGCCGTAAGCCACCGCCTCGTCCGGGTTGATGCTCTTGTTCAGCTCCCGGCCGTTGAAGAAGTCCTGCAGCAGCTTCTGGATCTTGGGGATTCGGGTGGAGCCTCCCACCAGGACCACGTCGTGGATCTGGCCCTTGTCCATCTTGGCGTCCCTCAGAGCCTTCTCCACGGGCTCCAAGGTTCCCCTGAACAGGTCGGAGCACAGCTCCTCAAAGCGAGCCCTGGTGATGGAGGTGTACAGGTCCACGCCCTCGAACAGAGAGTCGATCTCGATGCTGGCCTGGGAGCTGGAGGACAGGGTCCTCTTGGCCCTTTCGCAAGCTGTGCGCAGCCTCCTCAAGGCTCTCTTGTTCTGGCTGATGTCCTTCTTGTGTTTCCTTGAACTCCTCCACAAAGTGGTTGACCATGCGGTTGTCAAAGTCCTCTCCTCCCAGGTGAGTGTCTCCGGCCGTGGCCTTCACCTCGAAGATGCCGTCCTCGATGGTCAGGACGGACACGTCGAAGGTGCCTCCGCCCAGGTCAAAGATCAGGACGTTTCTCTCTCCAGTCTTGCCTTTGTCCAGACCGTACGCGATGGCGGCCGCCGTGGGCTCGTTGATGATCCTCAAGACGTTGAGTCCCGCGATGACGCCTGCGTCTTTGGTGGCCTGTCGCTGAGAGTCGTTGAAGTAGGCGGGGACCGTGACCACGGCGTTGGACACCTTGTGGCCCAGGTAGGCCTCGGCGATCTCCTTCATTTTCACCAGCACCATGGAGGAGATCTCCTCGGGGAAGAAGGCTTTGTTCTCCCCTTTGTACTCCACCTGAATTTTGGGCCTGCCTCCTTCTGAAAGCACCTTGAAGGGCCAGTGCTTCATGTCGGCCTGCACCACCGGCTCTTCAAACCTTCTGCCGATCAGCCTCTTGGCGTCAAACACCGTGTTGCTGGGGTTCAGGGCCACCTGGTTCTTGGCCGCGTCCCCGATCAGCCTCTCGGTGTCGGTGAAGGCCACGTAGCTGGGGGTGGTCCTGTTGCCCTGGTCGTTGGCGATGATTTCCACCTTTCCGTGCTGGAAAACCCCCACACAGGAGTAGGTGGTGCCCAGGTCGATGCCGACGGCCACGCTTTTAGCTGCACACATCTTGGCTGGGTTTCCTTTCAGACCTGAACCAGCAGAGACACACGAGAGGAGGAGGAGAGGAGGATTAGTCCCTCTCAGAAACACTTCAGATGCTTTAGGTTTTTACTGGACTTTGTGGCAGGTTTTGCTCCAATCTGACTGCTTTCTGTAAAGCTGCGTTCAGCGACGCCTTGGACACGTTCAAGCGTCATTTGCTCCGCAAATCTGTTGGGCATGTTTCAGTCTTTGACTAAACTCTACAAGGTGTGTTTCTGTGTCCCAGTTGATAAGAGCATGAATTCAGCCTGGAGTCGCAGAGAAGAAGAAAAGTGAGAACTTACTGTGGTCCAGAGGTTCCTGCGCTGTGATGCTTCTTTCTCCTCTGCTGGATCTCCTGATGTCCTCTGAAGGTCTCTGAGTCTCTAACTGTCTCAGCTTCGCCCTCACCGCTATTTAAACCCCTCACTCGCTTCTCGCTGCTTCTCCAGCCTTCGGCCAATCACAGGGCGCGGCGAGGCACGGTGCGCCATGACGTCACGCGCTAGAAGTTTCTCCCGGCTTCTGGTCGCTCCGAGAAAATGTCAGAAAGAGACAGAAAAGCCCGATGGTTTCACTGCGTTTCCAGAAGCTCCCAGAGCGGGAATGACGGAGACAATATTGCAGCAAAAATATCAACATGTTGGTTCAATAAAGCGCAGAAATCCTCCTGAAGGCCGGAGGTTTGTTCAGTCTGTCGGATATTTCAGGTTTTAGACTGAAGGAGCCGCTGCAGGACTGGGACTCTCCAGGTTCACTTAGGGTTATGAACATACTATTTAATTCAATCTAGTTCACAATGTCTCGCAATTAGACAAATATATTCTGCACCGCAGTTTTTCTGATTGTTGTGTGCTTGCTTTTAAACTGAGCCATGACGTCACAGTTTCACTCTTCTGTGTGTTTTGCTCTGTTCATGATGCAGCTGCTGTTTCCTTTCATCACTGATAACCTGCAGTTATTTGAACCAAACTTTAGTCACTGAGGATAAAATCATTTTACTTTGAAACAAAACTGAAGTCAAAATGAAACGACTAATCGAAATGAGTTCATAACACAAAACAAAATTCTGTCAGAACCACATCAATGATTGATAAGTTTATGTTTCCAAACGCTTTGAAGGTTCTGGTTCTTCTCTCCAGAACCAACGGGAAAGAGGCGCTCCAGCCTCTGACAGTTTGTATTTTAAAGATAAAATACAAACCAACTGAAACAAACGGCAAATCCGGCCCTTCAAAATAAGATCAATCTGCGAGACATTCAGGTCTTGACCATTTAATTCTTTACCTTTTATTCTGAAGGATGGAACCGGAAACTGTGGATTGTGCTGAGAGAGAAACCTCCAGAAACTTCTAGCGCGTGACGTCATGGCGCACTGTGCCTCGCCGCGCCCTGTGATTGGCCGAAGGCTGGAGAAGCAGCGAGAAGTGAGCGAGGGGTTGAAATAGCTGTGAAGCTGTTTAGAGACTCAGAGACTGCCGGGGCCCGTCTTCCGGACTGCTGGGGCCCCGTCGTCCGGACTGCTGGGGCCCGTCTTCCGGACTGCTGGGGCCCCGTCGTCCGGACTGCCGGGGCCGGTCGTCCGGACTGCTGGGGCCCCGTCGTCCGGACTGCCGGGGCCGGTCGTCCGGACTGCTGGGGCCCCGTCGTCCGGACTGCTGGGGCCCATCCCTCCAGCCATTCTCACACATTCAGACTGGAGCATAAACTCTCCACTGGCTGACAATTATTTCAAGAGTTTCTTACATGAAACTAAATATTTCACTTTTTACCGCTAAAAGCTGCATCTTGTTCTCCTTGTCTAACTGCAAACAAGGTTATTTCTTTTATCATGAACATTTCAAACTATAGTGAGAAGAAAAGTTTAAGAAGGGTTAACACAGTGCAGCAATATGAAGCATATTTCATATTCAAAATATCCAAAACTTGATTATTGCATTTTCATTTCTCCACAGTGTGACCCGGGCCGCACCCAGTCGAGCCACCAGGGGGCGCTAACAACTGAAAAAACCCTGGAACAATCCAGTTCAGGGGCCCCCATCAGGGAAAGTTAGACATTTCCAAAGGCCCCTGACCAACAGGGGGCCCTCCACTATTTTTTACAGAGAATATATTAAAAATGGGACCCTGTCAATTACAAAATTAATTATTTTGTGTTTTCTACTTTACCCCTCCCAGCAGGGCTGACCCAAAGCATAAGCAAACTAAGCAGCCGCTTCGGGCCTCAGGGCCACCTTGGGGCCCCTAATAATTTATATGTCTTTATAATAACCAAAACACACAACTTCACTTTGAAGTGATTTGTTTTTACTATAATATATATTTGATCATTTGGCTGAGGGCCCCATGGAGGCTTGGACCGGCCCTGGCTCCCAGACCAAAAAGCACATATTTGCCCTGAAGCCCCTGGATCTGCATGAATCGGTTCCTTCCTGCCTCATGGTGACGAAGTTCAGCAGCAGACGGTGGAAAACAAGAACGACTGGCTGTCACTGAGCTGCAGAGGAAATGATCCAGTAGGTTTTCAAAATACAGAGAGAAAAAGGTAAATGTGTCAATTTATGACTTCTTGTGTTTCCTCTCTCTCTCTCTACATATATATCTATATATAGATATATATTAGTCTAATTATAATCACTTTTTTATTAATACAATGTGGGACTGATTTATCCAATGCTAAGCTAACCAGAACTGCTAAGCTTCCACTTCAGTCACTCAAATAATCCAATATATTGAACATTAATAAGCCGCTGCTGTTTGTAAACATGGCGGCAGCAGTTTTAGACGGGTAGCATGGACAGATAGCTATCGATCCGTGCTACGGTAGGACAATCTGACGAGGTAGCGCAGATCGTCAGGACTCCTGGCTGCAGAAGGAAGAACCGGATCTTCAGACGACTCGCACAGAATCATGTTGACATTTTTTTCTAATTTCAGAATAAATCCCTGAAACTGAAATGGTTTCATGAATTATTCATTTTTATTTCGTTTAGCAACAAATTAAAGTTTGAAGAAAATATAAAAATGTTTCTCCGCTCTGCAGTTTCAACCAACGTCTTCAGTGATTAAATATTTGATTTGTTTTGGATGTTTATTATCATCAAGTTATTATTACAACATTTTAAATACAAACCCCACAAAAAGCAACATGAAAAAATAAAAAATATGAATTATAGACGAAGAACTGAGGAAATTAGCAGAAAAATCAAAAAGACCCAAAAGAACCAAACAGAGAAAACCTCCCCATCCCTTCATTGTCCCCGTCCCCTCAGTGTGACCATGTCCCCTCAGTGTGTCCATGTCCCCTCATTGTCCCCGTCCCCTCCCTGTCTTCGTCCCCTGAGTGTGTCCATGTCCCCTCAGCGTCCCCTCATTGTCCCCGTCCCCTCCCTGTCTTCGTCCCCTGAGTGTGTCCATGTCCCCTCAGCGTCCCCGTCCCCTCCCTGTCTTCGTCCCCTGAGTGTGTCCATGTCCCCTCAGCGTCCCCTCATTGTCCCCGTCCCCTCCCTGTCTTCGTCCCCTGAGTGTGTCCATGTCCCCTCAGCGTCCCCTCATTGTCCCCGTCCCCTCCCTGTCTTCGTCCCCTGAGTGTGTCCATGTCCCCTCAGCGTCCCCTCATTGTCCCCGTCCCCTCCCTGTCTTCGTCCCCTCAGCGCTCCTCTGCAGATCAGGCTGAACCAGTAGAGCTGCAGGGGCCACAGCAGGGCGGCCCCCACGTTGCACTGCCAGGGAGCCACCAGGGGGACCCGGTACAGTGGGATGGATGCGTACCTGCAGTAGCAGCAGAAAGGGGGCGCTGTGGTCAGCTTGGCCAATAACAGACGATCTGAGGTAAATAGCATCAGTGAAGCCCCTGACCTCTTGACCTCCTGACCGGGACCGTATCAGCTTCACCCGCCAGCAGGCCGAACCGAGGTCAACGAGGTCAGAGAGGTCTGGTGTGTTACCTGCTGTAGGCGTAGTACAGGTAGGGGAACAGCAGAACTCTGCAGCAGAAGAAGATGAGCAGCAGGGCGGCGCCGTTGATCCGATGCAACAGCCAGTCCTGCTTCTGGAACTGATGGACACACCTGGTCAGGTACAAACACCTGGACCCGACCGGACTCTGAGTGGTTCTGTTGGGTCGGACTGGGTCCAGAACATAAGTTTACCTGGATCAGAACTTTCCCCAGACAGACAGACGGCGTGCTGAGCTCAGCCAGGAAGAGAAGGCCCTGGAAGTAATCGCCCCGCCCCCGGCGCCACACCTGGAGGGAGAGAGGTCAGGGGTCAGTGACCTCCGATGGCTCCCTGACCCATCTGGACCAGGCTCTTCTCTCCAGAACCAGAACTTGGTTTCACAGTAAGTTAATAAGGCTGTTAACAGACAGGTGGCGCCACCTGCAGGCTGGAGGCTTCATTACAGGCTCCGACAGAACCTCTCTGGCCTCATATTGGACCGGCCCAAAATAGAAAAAAGAACCACATATGAAGAAGTTGGAGAACTTTAGATGTGATGTCAGACATTCTCCAGTTTCTCTTCAAACTGGTTCCAGTTTCTTCCTGAACTGGGTCCAGCGTTGCCATAGTTACCAGAGAGGCGGGGCAGCAGAAGGCCACCATGAAGACGTGATGCATAACCATCAGAACCTCCCGGCGCAGGAAACCCGACACTACGGCGCGCACCGAGCCGCCGTCAAGCCCCGCCTCCTGGTGACCTTTGACCCGCAGCCTGAACCAGTAGCACAGGAACATGGCCACCAGGTCGTAGCAGAAATACGGCGTGGCGAACAGGATGTAGGCGTCGGCCAGCCAGTGCCTGAGGAGGGGGAGCAGAACGGGTCAAAGGTTAGAACCGGGTCATTCTGGACTCTCAAAAACACCCAAAACCAGCAGCAGGTTCTGCTGACCTGGTCGGTTCTGGTTCTGTTCAGAACTGAATGTTGAAAAATAATCAGTAATTATGAAAACAATCATTTAATCTGAAAATCCCAGATTAAATCTAAGTAATGGAAGATCCTATGGATTTTACCATAATAATAACAACAATAAGTGTAATAAATAATAAAGACACACATGGAAAAGTTTTCTCTTGTGTGTTTGAGTAAAATAGAGAAACATTTTTTCAAGTTGTTTTTTTTGTATTTCTATAATTTAGATTTTTTTACTGATATAAAAACACTGATATGAACAGTTTTTATAGAAAACATCAGCATAGCAATATTATTGGCAGAGATGATAACAATAATAATAACAATAATAATAATAATAATAACAATAACAACAACAACAATTATAATAACAATAATAAAAACAACAACAACAATAATAATAATGACAATAATAATAATAACAACAACAATAATAATAATAATAATAATAATAATAACAATATAATAACAACAATAATAACAATAACAACAACAATAATAATAACAATAATAATAATAACAACAATAATAACAATAACAACAATAATAATAATAATAACAATACTAATAATAACAACAATAATAACAATAACAACAACAATAATAATAATAATAATAATAATAATAACAACAATAATAATAACAACAACAATAATAATAATAATAATAATAATAATAATAATAATGATCCCTCTGCGCTGCTGCAGGTGAGACTCGCTCACTTCCTTTCTGCTCTCGCTGTGATTTGGTAACCAAATGGGAGTCGGACCAGTGCTGAACTTTGACTGGGAAATCAGGAAACCAGTGAGCCGCCGTCCTCCCCGCCGTTTCCCAGCATGCTCAGCGAGGAGGATCAGCCAGCAGCCGAAATAACCTGCAGCTCGGCTCCATAATCCCAAATCGGTAATCAGATTACAGGCTGACAGGAAACCTGCTGCAGCGATTGGTTTGTCCTCCTGAGATGACATCATCAGATGATGTCATCTCAGGAGGACAAACCAATCTTTTTACAGTGACACTGGAGGAAAACTAAGCAGGACGTCCTCACCTGTCCTCCATGACGTCCCTGCAGGACGAGACGATGGTCCATCCGGCCGAGGACGCCATGACGGCCTGGAGAGACGACACCAGACTGGAGGACAGGGAGGACTGGTTAGACTGGTTAGACTGGTTAGAACCAGAACCAGAACCAGACCAGAACCAGAACCAGAACCAGACCAGAACCAGAACCAGAACCAGAACCAGACCAGAATCAGAACCAGACCAGAACCAGAACCAGACCAGAACCAGAACCAGAACCAGTGAACGAAGGATCAAATAAAAACCAGATCAATCAGAATCCGGACCGGAACTGGAAGGTGTGTGCTCTCACGGGTCGGTTCTGGAGCCCAGGTGGGAGTTTTGGTTCTGGTTCTGATCTGGTTCCGGTCCAGGGAGCAGACTAGTGATGGTTTGGATCAGAGGAAACATCTGAATAAATAAACAGAGAGAAACGTATGGAGGTCATGCAAAGGCCTCAGTTTGCATAGCAGGGATGTGTGTGTGTGTGTTTATGTGTGTGTGTAGGTGTGTGTTTATGTGTGTGTGTAGGTGTGTGTGTGTGTATGTTTATGTGTGTGTAGGTGTGTGTTTATGTGTGTGTGTGTGTTTAGGTGTGTGTGTGTGTGTGTGTGTAGGTGTGTGTCTGTGTGTATGTTTATGTGTGTGTGTAGGTGTGTGTTTATGTGTGTGTGTAGGTGTGTGTTTATGTGTGTGTGTGTATGTTTATGTGTGTGTGTTTATGTGTGTGTGTGTATCTGTGTGTGTGTGTAGGTGTGTGTGTGTGTGTTTGTGTGTGTAGGTGTGTGTGTGTGTGTGTGTCACCGTGCGGAGATCACCACTGCGTCCGCCTCACTCCGTCCCATGAGCCGCTCCAGGATTTGCTTTGATCCCAGGAAGATTCCCGGGAAGAAAACAGAACCGGCAGCCAGCAGGCCCAGCATGCCTACCGGACCGAACCGGGGCGAGAGAGAGAATCCGACAGTGTGTGTCAGCAGCTCAGAGAGGATCAGAGGGGCGGAGCTTCCTGCAGCCACCTGGGGAAGAGGGGAAGTGATGGGGGAGGAGCTAATCCCCAGTTCTGGACCGGTTCTGGTCTGGATCAAGAGCAGGTCTGTCTTCAGAGCTTCTCTATTTCTGTCCCTCATCTTCAGCCCAGACCCAGAACCAGACCCAGACCCAGAACCAGACCCAGGATGGTGAAGCTCCGCCCCCTGAATGTCAGCCAGCCAATCAGAGCTCAGTTTGTACTCGAGAAACTGCATCAGTTTAATCTCTGGTTGGGACAGATGTTCCTGAATTTTAATCTGGATCCGGTGAGAATCCAGATTTCATGCAGAGCTTTAAAGGGATCAGTTACTTTTATTAAAATCCTGAGCAGATTTATTATCTCGGTCACGGTTGTGTTGTCATGGCGACAGCAGTCAGTTACATTAAATCAGGAAATTATTTATTGAACCACTTTAAAAACGGCCTTTAATGACGTTTTAAACAAACTTCTCAGTAAGAAGACATTTCTGTTGTCCAAAATATTGGATGTAACATTCGGATCTTTAATGTGTTTTTATTTATGAGCAGCAAATCAACATGATGAGGAGAAATAAATGTGTTAAAGCTTCAGTTATGTATGTTTCACTCGAGGAGTTCATGAAATAATTTTTTTTTCAACAGGAGCTTCACTGAACATTCTGGAGTTCTTTTATCATGACGTGCTGCTCGGCAGATAAACGACAGAAACGTCCCGGCAGGAAGAACAAACTGGTTTTAACTGCTTGTCAGAGTGAGACCTCTTGTTTCTACACCAGCTCTGTTTTAAAGGGACGGTCTCATGGAAAACCAGCTGAAAGCTTCCATCATGTTACTCCTCATCAAACCCTGGGCCGGGCTGAAACTGGAACCGGAACCAGACCGGAACCGGAGTGTTGAGAAATCATTTAATCTCCATGGCAACAAGATTTAGATTCACATCCACCCTTGGAGAAACTTTCTGGAGGATCAGACGCATGGATTCTGCTTAACAATCCAGTCAAGGCTGAGCTTCTAACTGGGTCACTTTTTCCTTCCACTCAACTTTCTATGAATACTGTCAGCTTTCAGCTGAGACCTGCTGCGTCTCCATAAAGGTTTCAGGCGACCTCTGAGGAAACATTTACTACACTGACCGGACCGGCCCGGACCGGACCGGACCCGGGTGAACAGACGACACGGCAGAACCAACAGAACCGTCCGGTCCAGTGTCCATTTCTTTATTCACCATCACTAATTTGACTCTATATTCAAGTATCTGTCAGAACAGAACCAGAACCAAACAGAACTTTGAGCTAAAACAGACAGAAACATCAGATCCATATTCAGAATAATAAACATCGAGTTCTAAAGATTCTAGAACGGAAAACGGGTTCTAGAGGTTCTGACCAACGCAGAGGAACCGGATTACAACCAGAACCTCCGGCTCTGTTCTGGGTCTAAACGGGCCCAACTGGGTCCACCAGAACCGGTTCGGTACGTAATCCCAGGTCACAGATTTTTCCTCCAGAATCTGGAGACAGCAAGGAAGAACCAGAACCAGAACCAAAGGAATCACACAAAACTCCTGCTGGGAGAGGCTGAATGAAGCGGTACCGGTTCCGTTGGGCCGGTTCTGTTGGACCTCACAGGTAATAAACACACATGCACATTTACAGGAGGTTCTGGTGCCGCTGCAGCCGGGTCCTCGGGTCAGAAGGAACTGGGTCAGCAGCAGGTGGTACGGACACTCTGGACTCGACCAGGTTTGGTGGTTCTGACCCGGACCGTCTCCAAAGTCATTCTGCTGGAAACCAGAATCGGTCCCGGTCCAAACAGCAATCCAGTTTTCCGGTTTGGTCATCTGAGCGGCCCGGTTCTGATGACCTGTCAGAACCACAGCCAGTCTAAATGAAATCCGGTCCGGCCCGGATCTCTGGTTCCGTCTGGGGAACCAGAGATTTTCTCATGATTTCTTCCATTTTGGTTCTTTTGGGTCGTGATTTTATTTTGAAACGGAATCGGAACCGAACCGGAACCAGAAGGTCCGAACGACCCAGCTGTGGACGGGAGGTGCTATTGGGTCACTGGAGGGACCGGCATCGGGTCAAGTTCTGACCCGGTCCACACGGGTGCCGGAGTGCTGCCTTTCGGATCAGAACCACAACCAAGCCACCAGCATTTTCTCTGATAGGTCCTGCTCCCAGAACCGGGTCAGAACCGGGAGGTAAAACTGGAGGGTCGTTATCAAACTATCCAGAGTTTTTGTCCCGGTCCAAAAGTTCTGCAGAACTCTGAGGTAACTGGGTCCAGTCGGTACTGGTCCGAGGTTAACTTGGGTTAGATGAAAGGTTCTGGTCTCTGAGGGAATCCAGTCGTTTGTTTTCTTGATGATCCGGGTCACAATCGGACCAGAACCGGACCAGAACTGGCGCGGTTAGACCTGCTACATCTGGTGAGGTTGCACAACCGTCGCCATGAAACGCCGGGGAAGGACAACACAGTGAGAGATGAGGCGGGCGGGTTCTGACCCGGTTCTGACCCGTCCCAGCGCTCCAGCAGCAGCTTGGCTCCGGCGCCAGGGGAGAGTCCAGGTGGATCCGGCAGAACCAGAACAAATCAGCATGAGGTCGGTCCGTTTGGGTCGGAGAGAGGGAGAGAGAGGGAGAGAGAGAGAGCACTAACTCGCCCGCCGGCTGATGATGATGATCCAGAGCCTTCATCTCTCCTCCTTCCTGGAGACCTTGGAGGAATGCCACGCCGTGGACCTGAGGACCCATGACATCACATCACCCAACAGGAAATAGACTGATGATGTCACATGACGTCATCAGTCATGTGACATCACATGACTGATGACGTCAGTCATGTGATGTCACACATCACATGACTGATGTGATGTGTGCCGCGGGCAGGGCGGCGGCGCCCTGCCCGCGGCGGGCGGGCGGCGGCGCCCTGCCCGCGGCGGGCGGCGGCGCCCTGCCCGCCGCGGGCGGCGGCGCCCTGCCCGCGGCGGGCGGCGGCGCCCTGCCCGCGGCGGCGCCCTGCCCGCGGCGGGCGGCAGTGCCCTGCCCGCGGCGGGCGGCGGCGCCCTGCCCGGTTTTCTGGCCCCCCTGTGGATAAAACCAACTGGGAAGACGGTTTAAACCTTTGGACACGTTTAGTTTTCAAGCTGTCAAGCTTCATCTTTACAGTGAAACACTTTCACTCTGTCACTGCTTTTATTCTTCATCCATTCATCTGCTTCCTGCTCCCCCCTGCAATGGCACTGCGCCCCCTAGAGGCCGCGCTTTGGGACCCGCTGACCGGCAGGGGATCGGTACGGCCGTCCCGAAGAGTGTGACGTCACCAAGTGGTTTCCATGAAGACCCTCACCTGATGAAGGTCTTGAAGGCGGCGCTCTGGGGGTTGATGCAGAGCGGGACCCGTTTGCCCTGCTGGTGCTCCGTGATGAAGCGATGGATCAGTTCTGGAAGGACACACGGCGGCGTCAGGCCCGGTTCGGGACGTTCCCGGACCGGGCCCGGTTCCGACCCACCTTTGCCCTGCCACACGGACAGCAGGCTGTTCTCGTAGCTGTGGCTGAAGGGGCGCTCGGCCGCCGGCTCGAAGTCGCGCGTGTAGACGCGGCCGCCGGCCACCGAGTAGCAGCAGCGGCACATGCAGGTGTGGTAGCGCAGCCGGCCCTCGTCCAGGTACGGGTGGGACAGCGCGTCGCCGCCGGAGATCCGCTTGGCCTGCACACAGAACCCGGCTGAGACCCGGAACCGGACCCGGAACCGCGAGCGGAACCGGAACCACTCACCGGGTCAAACACCAGCATGCGGCACAGCAGGTGAACGGCCTCGTGGGTAGCGCCGTCCGACAGCATGTAGAGCACCGACAGCGACGGCTGCAGAACCAGAACCAGAACCCGTTACTGACCGGAACCGACCTGAACCCGGAGGCCTCTGATCGGCTGCTGCTCAGAACCCCGCCCCCCGGTTCTGGCAGCAGAACCTCCTACCGGCTTGTGGGGTCCCCTCAGGATGTGGGCTCGGGCCCCTTCGCAGGCCGACGCCAGGGCGGACAGCGGCGGCGTTCCCAGCAGGTCCGTGATCAGGTCCAACTGCAGAGAAGAACAATCAGTAGAACCGGTTCTGGTTTCAGGCTGAGAAAAATAAACCAACCCGGAACCACTGGACCCTGAACCTACAGAACTTCTGCTGTCGTTACGTCTAGTTCTTCCAGTACCGGTGGCGGTTCCGGTACCGGTTCAGCCGATCCGGCTCACCTGCTGGATGGGGCTCTGCGCCTGGAACAGGATCCGGCGGCCCAGCAGCTCGGCGAAGATGCAGCCGACCGACCAGACGTCGATGGCCGACCCGTAGTGCCGGCAGCCCATCAGGACCTCCGGGGCCCGGTAGTACTGGGTCACCACCTCCTGGGTCATGTGACGCGACGGGTCGGGCTCTTCCACACGGGCCAGGCCAAAGTCACAGATCTGAGCAGAGACAAGGGCTTAGTGTCCTAGATAAAGCCCGCCTCGTCCGTATTTAAGCCCCGCCCCTCCAGGTGAGCGGCCACCTTCAGCAGGCAGTTGCTGTTGACCAGCAGGTTCCCGGGCTTGATGTCCCGGTGGAGGATCCCAGCCGAGTGGAGATACTTCAGACCTGGAGAGGAGGAGGAGCCGTTAGTCGCACGTCAGAACCGCTCCAAGATTTCCGGATGTGTTCCTTCTGGACAGGTCGCCTGGGTGTTGGTGGAACCGGCCCGGTTCTGGACTGACCTCGGAGGATCTGGTAGAGGAAGACCTTGATGTGGTCGGTGGTCAGCGGCTGCGGCGACACGATGACCTTGTGAAGGTCGCTCTGCATCAGCTCTGTGATGACGTAGCTGCCGGGTCGTTAAGGATCCTAACCGGACCCCATCAGAGAGGACTAAAGCGGGTCAGAACCGCCTGAAGGATACATCTCCTCAAAGCAGTCGATCTGCGGAGGCTGCAGGATGTCCAGAGCTGACAGAACCTGCAGAACCAAACCAGAACCGGAGTCAGAACCTCAGGCAGCGGCGATCTGAGCGCGCTCAGAAGCGGCGGCGCCGTACGTTGTCGTGTTTGAAGAAGCAGAGCATCCGCAGCTCCCTGAAGACCCGCTTACACGACACCAGGTTCTGGAAGACGTTCGGCATCTTCTTCAGCGCCACCTTCCGGCCGTCACGGGGGTCTGTCACCGACCTGGGGTCAAAGGTCAGGGGGGAGCTTTCTGTTACACTACAACCAATCACAGCGTCAGACCCGGTTCAGCCCGGATCGGAACCAGAGCCGATTCTTACCAGACGACCCCGAAGGCTCCGTATCCGATGGGCCGGTCCGGTTCCATTTCGGCCGGGCTCGGTACCTCACTGGCCGGGTTGCTGTAGGGCTGCGGCACCGCCGCCCCGCCGCCTGCGCCGCCGCCCAGCGCCGTCGGGTGGCGTGGGGTTCCGGCTGGGGCGCTGGGCCCAGTCAGGCCCGGCGCGGCGCCGAGGCCGGCCGATGGCCCGCCGCAGGACGAGCCCACGCAGAAGAACTTGTGGCCCAGGTCCGAACCCGGGAACAGGTCGCCGCAGACGGTCTGGCGGCCGGTGCCGTGAAACGCCATCCCTACCCGACCTGACCCGCTTTCAGTCCAGGCAGTGAGAGCGGTACCGATATCGGTACCGGGCTGCTGCTGCTGGTGCCCTCAAGCTCAGAACCGGCGCCGTGGGCTCAACATGGTCCGACCGGGTTCTGGAACAGACAAAAATCGGGAGTCAGATTTGGACCGCATCAGAACCAAGACCTGCAGTCGGTACCAGAACCTTTTCTAGGAGAAACAGTTCAGAACTTAAGCTGTCACTTTAATCTGTCGGTACTGGGTCAGAACCAGAACCTCCAGGGAGTCAAGCTTTAGTTTAATAAAACTTTTAAAAAAAACTTAAATATGTTTTTAGGGGTCCAGAACCGGACCAGGTCATTCATCAGAACCTCTATCTGGTTCTGTAGAGCTCAAAGAAGAGCAGCATCACCCTGCCTGTTGCCGGGCAGATTAGTTCCTCCAGAGAGAACACGTGACCATAACTTATCGCCTTAATAATAGAA